TGTGTCGGGCGTCTGTGTGCGTGCGGCGCCCCGGGGGGTTCCGTGTCGGGGGCACCGGGTGTTGGTGCCGGCCCCGCGGAGGCCGAGATGACGGTGTGGTGCTGCTGCTTCGCCGGGATGCCCTGTCCCGCCCGCCCCGCACGGGGAGAGCAGGGAGGAAAGCAGCTCCGTAAGTCCGCTCGGCGTCTGCTCTCCGGCTGAGGAGGTCCTGGCTCACGGGGAAATCGGCCGTAATTCACGAGAAGCAATTGCTTCTTGTTCTCATAGGGAAATCAGTGAGCAGCCCCAGTTACAATTCGTCTCTACAGGCACCCGAAATGCATCGCAGAGCGCACTTACTTGTAAACTAAATTTTGGGACCTTGCTGCGTACGGCACTATCCAAATCCCTGTCCTAAGAGCTCATCCCAGCACTGTCCGTGTCGTTTAGAGCAGTACGACTCCGTTAGTGAGCAAAGCGAAATAATCTCCCTCTGCATTATGATTTTTATCTGTGTTTTTGGTTTGTGAACTGTTTTAAGTTCTGAACCTGTAAAAATCAGGCTTCTGTTCAGCTACTGCACTGGGAGGTTTTGAGAAGCCCTGTATTATATTTGCAAATGTGGTGAATGTCAATAGGAGCAGTAAACGAAGCTGAGTATTTTTGCGAGTTGTGAAATGCATTTGATGTTATCAAAGTTTATTCATATTTCAGGAAGGAAATTCGGGTTTTAATTGAATATGATGTTAATGAAAGGAGTCTAGATTGAAAACCCAGGAAATAAATGTTCTATGCTAAGGACAGTGAAAGGGACCAGCACTGTTGTCTCAGTGATGCGCTTCAAATTTAACCCAGGTTAGCTGGTTGCTTTTTGTGGCCTGCTTGCACTTGGCTTCAGAGCGATGCTTTTTTGATTTTTGCCAAGTGTTACACCTCAATTCCCCAATTGGCAAGTTCCTCGCATCCCTGTCCTAGTCCTTAGTGGTTTGAGATAGGTGTGGCATATATCTGGGCTGTCCTAGCTATTCATTTCCATTGCCTCTTCTGCTCTTACATCAGTAGGCTTGTTTGATGAATGGGATCAGAGAGCTAATAAATTTTCTTTGATCAGTTTTCTGCTGTAGCTTTTCACTCAACAGTAGGAATACTAGAACAGCACAAGAGAGGCACTGGAGAAGCAAAGGGGGACAAGTGGAAGCCTGTCTCCTTTGAGCAATGGCCAGGAATAATGAGAGTACCTGACTGTGCAGATTTTGCCTAATTCTTACACAGGCCATAAAGTAACCCAGAACAGAGGCAGCTCTTCTCTCTGAAAATAAACAAAAGCAAGCTGTCCTACTGTGGACTTCTGATTTTATTTTAGTATTTTTATTTTTGTTTTTTAGGATGGAAACCCCCTAACTCATTAGTGACAGAAGACAGTCACCAGTGGGCTGTTCTTACAGGTTAAGGCCCTTTCAATTATTGCCCTACATCTTCCCTGTAAGACCACAGGGTGGAAGAATAAGGGGAAGGGGAAGATATGAGTGCTTACATAACTGTCAAGCTCTAAATAAAATCAAAGTTAGATCTAGTGACATTTTATGGTGCTTGACCCAGGTAAGTTGTTATCTCAGTCCCATCTTGCAGCATGCCTTTGATCACCAGATACTGATTTGGCATTATAGTAGGCAGGTATCCATTAGAGTTAGGTGTCCTCTAGAGTTCAAAAAAGCTTTGTTTTTAATTCATTTACTTTTCACACATGATGTCACCTACACTTGAAACCAGATCCTACAGTTAAAGCACTTTTGCTTGTTATGTTATTGTGTCTGTTGTGAGGAGAAGTAGGTCTAGAAACAAAGTTTAAAGCTAATGAGTTGGTTTTTTTTCTGGTAAAATAAGTCTTACAGGTTCTGATACCTGATTCAGACCCAAAGAAGATACAAAAACAATTTCCTATGAAACCAGACTCCTATCTTTTGGCCTGCTCTAAACAGATAGTAGAAAGGACAGGGAATGCTTTGAAAGAGAATCTTTTCATGTCTAAGACGAGTCATTTACTTAGGTTAGTGTTGTGGTCAGTGCACAGTACCAGCAGTCCCAGTCATCCAATCGCTAGATTTTTTCAAAGCCTTTTCACTGCCTATCATGTTTTCATTCAAGTGGCTTCTCATAACTTCAAAGAATTCCTTGCCAACAAGTAAAGACCCCCGCACACCCTCCAGATGTCTCTGTTGCTTTACAAAATTCTTGATAGCACCAGATTGTTACCTCTCCTGTCACACTATCCAATACTATTTCATTGTTGCATATACTCTGTGGGATAAGTTTTGGAGAAATAAGTTTGGTTTTTATTTGTATAATATTGCACAGCACAGATTTTAACTTGGGCATTGAGATTGCTGGCCTTACCATAACAAACTAGTAATAAAAGCAGTAATAATAAAAGGTGCCCACAGTTTCTATAGGAACCCAAATAAGCTTTTCATTGCTGCAGTTGAATATTTGATGTTCTTTGTGGCTTAATGAGTTAACCATTCATTCAATGCTACTTTTAAATTCGATGTGATTTATAGGACAGAACATTTAATTTACATTTCAGTGGGATGTAATTTTATCGTGCTGTGCTTAATTTATATTAATTTCACGTAGATAATCTCTACAGCCTGTTTCCACTTGGAAGAGCAAGAGAAATTGATGTGAGGGTTCTTTCACTTGGTTATAGATTCTGTTTGTGCTTCTCTTTTTCCAAGGGCAAAACAGACTTCTGTTATCATCTAACTTGGAGGCAGTGGTACTCCATCCTTGGCAGCCTCACAATCTGGCTGACTTGTTACCTGACAGTCAGTTTTCCCTGGTGTACTGGCCACACCAATGTGAAGTCATCAGGGACAGAACTGAGCACATCAGTAAGTTAATTGTGTTATGCTTGAAAATCTCATGTATGGGCAAAGAGGAAGCACATCTTACAGTTTGTTGCACATTGTCAGCCTCTGGAGTCCTTTGTTGGGAGAAATACAATGTTTGTGTTGAAGATTATTTCTTCCCCACTCTAGGATCCAAATAACTCTTGAGATAATTTTCATATGTTTGCTAGCTTACACCTCTCTCTTTTTTCATCAGTGTGCAGCTCCATGTTACATCTGAATTTACCATGCACTGTGTTCTTTATATGTGTTAGATATTATTTCCTCCTTCTGTTTGTTACCCTTTAAATGAGTTTTGTCCAGCTCTAGGACAGCATTTCTACACAGAACAACTCCTTGTTACTTCTGTCTGTATAAGCCTATGGTTGTACCACACAAAGACAAAAAAAAATGTTAGCTATACATACCTGGTCAATTAGAGAAACTGCTGTCACAGCTAAATTAAGTGAAACAAAGCTGCAGGCAGATGAAGAAAAGTTCAGACAGAGAAAACCTGACAAGCCTCAGTCCTTTGAGGCAAATTCAGTACAAATCTCATGTCCTGTTACTAGCAATGTCAGTACCATCTTTCAGGACTATATTGTTAAATATGAATGTAAACTAATAATTGTTTTTATGCAGTCTGTACAAAAGTCATACTGCAAAACTATTATGAGATAGTGAAGACTTGGAACAGTTGCTGTGCTTTATAGATACAACCAATTGCAATTTGCAAGTAATCAGCAGAAATCAGAAATGCACAGAGGTGGGACTGAGACATCTATGCCCTTATTCTGTTACTTTTGAAAATAGATCCCAGTATCTTGAATGGGATGGGGTAGGGCTGCTGTGAGTATTACAGTAAGAAAAGGCCTGCTGTCAGAATGGATCAGTGTTCAACAGATCTTTGGCATGCCAGGCAGATGTCCTGCAAGTTACATGGAGACACTGCATTACAGTGATGTGTATTTTTATTTGGAGTTATAGTGAAGATTTGTTCACACATCCAAAAAATGAGGTTGGAAAGGGGGCTTCCCTGTTCCTTTATGTGCAACTGGTACAGATAGGATAAACTACTTAACAATGTGTCCTTCATATTATAAAGACTAATATAATCTTGCTGCTTGTACTCCTTCTGTGTGTCTCTTCTTTTTCAGGCTGGATACCCCCTACCCCTGAGCCACTGTGCACTCCCAACAGGTTTGGAGATGATGCCACCATACCAAAATCCTGACAAAGGCACTGTGATTTATCTAGGAGAACGTGGGAACTCCCTGAGAAATCTTGCTGTCAGCTGTTTTGATCTTCCTTATGAACCTAATTCAAAGCCTGATGAAATCAATATTATTTTCTATTGTTATTTTAAAGTACTTGGGAATACATTATTTTCCTATAGATAAGAAAGGAAATTAGTTACACAGCTGTCTCATCATTCGTAAGTTCTGCTCATACTGTTAATTATCCCAAGTCCAGCTACTCTCAAGCCATCCTTCTCTGTCAAGAACAGTATGAACCAGCCTAAAATGAGTTTACTGTGACAATATGAGTGGAGAAAAAGAACTTCACCAAAAGAGAAACTGAAAAAGATGAGAGCTGTGTAACTGCAAGATCAACACTAATGTCTGCGTTAACGATATTTTGTGATAACAATATTTTCTTAGCCTGTTTGCTATAGTGGTTTTGCCAAGTCTTACAACCAAAATCTGGCCAGAGTGGATCAGTGCTTCATTACATGCTCCTAAGTCTGGCAAGAATTAATTGGACAGAATTGAAGGTACTTAGTTGCCTTATTCCACCATCACCAGTTGATTATCAGAGTTATTCTCTTTTTTCCTGTGTTTGCTAAGTTGATCCAGTTGCTTTGGATGAACATGGAACTTCTGGTAGTTCTTGATTTTGATCCTGAGCTAATTCTACAGAGATAAGAAGGATAATAATAGTTTTGCAATCCTAGGATAACTAGATGTGGCCACAAGTTTTCAGAAGCACAAAACTGAAAGAGAGCGGGCATCCTTCTTGAGGTCAACACTCTTGGTAAAAGCTTGCAATATACTGAAAAGCACTGGTAGTCTTTGACATCATGTTTGTTTATAAATTAGCTACTTCTGCAGTATAGGAGTATTACCTGTCACTAGTAGGTTGCTACATTTGATGGCCAGGAAAACCGGTAACTCTTGTGTGACTAGGAAGGAACGTCTGTCCTCTGCAGCTGGACCAGCTAGTTTAATTCAGAGGATAAGGTTTGGAGGAACACTCGGTCTCCCAGTTCCTCACCTTTTTGAAAACAAGGACAATGATTTATGTTACGTTCCTTTAGTCACTGTTCTTTAAAAATGCAATTTTCCATGTCCTTTATTTCTGACTTGAACCTACTGCACAGGTGACTGGAAGTGGTTCTTATTTCAGCATGTACAACTCTCTCAATCTTCATTAATGAAACTTTCCAACTGAGGAGGTGAAAACTGCTGCCTTTAAGTGCAGCCAGTTCTTCCTGCTCCTGAGCAATGATGTTGTGCAGGCAGCTACAGGCACTTAGCACTGCCTGGGCTAGCAAACATCAAGCTGCAGCAGAATAGGAATGCTTGCTATCACTAAGAAGACTCCGTATCTAAATATATGGATAGTAATAGTCAGTATTTGTTGACTACAGGGTGAGTTTTTGAGTGACTGTAATTGTACATTCACTGCCTTGAATGTGCGGCTTTGTCCCCTAGCCTTGGGTTTGGCTGGTAGCAGGACCAACAGAGAACTTGAGAGCTCTGGAGCCTTTACTTGCTCTTCCCTGCTTCCAGCAGGGAGAGCAGACGCCTGGTGTGAACTGGGCTGATGGGCGCTGTGACCAGCTGGAGAAGAGGAGAACTTTGGAGCCCCATGGAGTTCATCTTCTCCTGTTCCTGGGACAGGAACCCCCAGCTCGGTAGCTTTGGCATCTAAGTTACATAGCAACAAATATAATTTTTAAAGGCCTAAAATGCTGCTCGCAGAGAAGCTCTATAGGGTAGGACAGGCATATATTGCATGTAGATTTATGACCCGAGTGCCTCAGATTCAGGCATGTAATGAACCATTGCATCCTGCAGGAGACAGCAGCACTCTCCTGATTCCCACTCAATCTGAATGTGAATTCAGCAG